CTAGAGTTCATTCAGCTCTTGAGGATTGCAGATCGGTGTGGGGCGGGGAGGCGTCGCCTGTGGATGAAGTGCTGGACATTTGGGATAGGGAGGGGGAGGAGGAGGAGGAGGAGGAGCAGACAGCGGGTGGGAAGGGCAGCAATGTGGGAGAGGATGATGTTGACCACCCTGGGGCTTCACGACGATGTCCGCACAACAAGGGCGTTGAAGGGGATGAGGATGATGCCGGCGTGCAGGAGTTGGGGATGTCATTGTAGCGGGGACTGATGAGAGATGGTCGTGCAGGCCGAGAGGCCGCGACTCGTGCCATGATGGTCGCCCTGAAGAGGAGGGGGGATGCAAGGATTGCATAGGCGGTTCCAACCACCAAGAGGATGAGGCAGACATAGATTGACGATACGTACAACACTGAGTGCCAAAGGACATGCAACTATCTATGGCTGCAGTAGTGGTACAACAGTGGTATTGCCGTCAAGTCTTAGAGGGCGAAAATGGTCGAATACAGAGCCTTATCTAGGGATGTCAGAAACATGTCATGGGGCATTAGCCTGACTTTGCCTTTTGAGCTGATTTCTGGCAGAGGCATACCTCATTAGCAGACATACAAAATTGACAAGCTACGGGAGATGCGGACACAAATTGAGATCACTAGAGCCACCATCCACACAGATGGAAGGAAGGAAGTTGTACTTTGAGCCTATGGTGAACTTCCTGGCAGGCAAACTGGGTAGGGCGTTCTTGTTTAGGACTGTACGGAAGGGGGGGTAGAGAGTGAGACTAGGGAGGTGGTCTTGGAGTGGTGGTTGGCGGTGTTCCACAAGTTCGACATTAGGTATTTACAAAGTTGGGGACATATGGGATAGCCTTGCTCGCTCATGGCACTCGTTGGAATATCTCAAGGCCAAAACCGGCCTATTCTTAAACATGGCCCAGGGACTGCAAAAAATCCAAGATTCGATCCCTTTAGCATGGATCAAAATCTTGAAATTAGGCCCCCGCCTCGACGATAATGACTGGGTGGTGAAGACGGAATCTATGGCCCTACCAATGCTCCTGTATAGAGTACAAAGCACAGGGGACCTTCACATTTCCCTTCAGGCTTACTGCCCGCTCCTGCCAGGAGCCAGATGGTCAGCCCTACAACGACAGCAAGAGTTGGACACACAACTACCAGTGTCCTCCCTTACCAGAAAGAGGGTGGCGGGAAATCAAGACAAAGGCTTCTTCCAATACGAACCTTCCACCCCGCTGGACCATCTCCCATTTGATCCAGCAGAATGGGAATGGACATGGGGGGGATCTCAAATAATGTCCTTGTGGCAATACACGGCGAAGAAGGGCTATAGAGCAGCTCGGAAACCGGCTAGCATCACAGATCAAATCATTAAGCGGTGGGAGAGAGACTCCCCGCTGGAGCCACAAGACTTCAAACGCTTCAGGTGGTCCGCAGTTTCTCACATTCGTCCGACTAGCCACAGAGCCCTCCAATGGCAAATCATACATAGATGTGTGCCCACCGCAGACTGGATCACTTCACGGACTGACCTGGAGGAAAAAGGTCTGCTCCCCACTGTGTTCATACTGCTCGCACACACCTCCCAACGGAAGAGCTACGCTGGAGCACTGCTTGCTGGAATGCCTCCATGGTGCTTCAAATGTGGAGGTGGTGGGACGCAGCGTGGCACTACTTCACTGATCACCACCTCCCCTGGGAAATACCCACCCTACTATTAGGGACCCCCCCGACAGCATCCGGGGCATGGACCCCGTTCATGACTAATCTCTTCACATACTCCAGACTAACTGTGCTCATCGCAGCCTGGAGGATGCGCTGCTCCTATGAGAGAAAAAACCATAACTATGGCTTTATGCAGGCCCGGTCAATGATTTCAGACACGATCTCTGCCCATACTCAGGCAGCCTGGAAACAACTGCAGCTCAACTTGGCCGTTGAGCCAAACACTGAGAAAAAACAAAAGCTATGGAATAGCTTTATGGAGACATGGACTGATCCAAACCAGAGGCTCTGCAGTCTCAATGATGATAACACCCTCACATGGCACCCCTGGCTCCCCTCAGAGAGACAGCCAACTCTCCACTTCCAAGTAACTCATCAACCAACAAACTTTGTCCTCATCTATGCCTGACCGTCCGTCTGTTACTGCCAAAATCCAGGTAATCTGGGTACCCCTCTCCCCCTCATCTCCATCACCCCCAGCACCTTCCCATCCCCC